TAGGACCGTTGTGGACTCTCTTACTTCGTCAAAGATGATCTCTAAAGCGAGAAACCTGCTTTCTATGTTTGCAAATGGTTTAAAAGACAACAAAGGTAGAATTTGCAAGTAATCGGAGTATGCAAATAATTCAAATTTTTGGGGCGCTTTGCACTTTCAACTTTAAGTGTAGCAAGGAAAAATTTGTTAAGGATTTCTCGCAACATCACAACTCATCCTAATTCATCAAATACTCACGACTAATATTGAGAAAATGAAGACCACCTCTGGGAGCGAGAAGGAAACGTCTGAATTCCCTGAAGAAGAACATAAAAGCTGTTTATTGTTGCCACCGGTGAGGTTTTATCTTTTTGGCATCATCGGGTTTTGTACAGTGACATGTTCTTGCTTTTTATTCGGATAAGGTTCTAAGGTACCAATTTTTTATCTGCATTCCAGGAGCCTAAACGTATTGGTGTGTTGGTCAAGCCAGTACTGAAAAGCCGCGCTCATATTTTCCTCGAATTTGGTCTACAGCTTTTGGGCGCATTGATAACGGGTTTGATTTGACTATTATTTCTTTTTATCGAAGCACTGAAAATAGCCCTTTTCAGGCAAAAACTTTGACAAAAATGATTCGGAACACATTCAACGATTGGATCCGTTTGTGTCACTAGTCACACAATGTCTTGAGTTCAAATATGAAAAGGTGCATCACTAAATACAAATTATGAATCTACCATCTTCTTGTCATCATTGTGTATTCTGTAGCGGATGGGTCAAGTAATGGGATGCTCCACATCGAATAATTTTCTCTTTTCCAATGATTATGGTGGTTTGACTGGACGACAAAAAGTCACGAATGCATAAAACAAGCGAAAAAAATTTCTTTGAAGGTGATCACAAATGCACTTCGCTGTCTGATCGGGATGCTTTATCTGTCGCTTCCATCCTTGCAAAAATCTCTCAAACAGATCTCTGAGAGGTATGTCCAGCCTTAGTTTTGAGCATTTTAAAATAACGTCCTTATCCGTTCCAGATTATTCATTCTACTCTCTGAATACTCTGTACTTGGTAGCGCGGCCAATAAGGAGTCTGTGCTTGCCCTGAATCAATTGCTTTGCAAAGTGAGCTTGTCACTTCCCAATTTTCTTTCGGCTCCACTGGCTGATCATTTCTTTGCAGACATTCACGCAACTGATTTTAATGGGAGATACTCCTTTTTTGACGGATAAGCATGTTTCTTTATTGTTGAGCTATGTGGAGATGGATGTGCTGGATACTAATAGACAAGCTACGGCTTTCGCGCTTATCAAAGCTCTTGTTCGAAAGAAAGTTGAACATAGCCAAGTACAGTCCATATTACTTACTTTTGCCTCTTGACAATTTCACACGGTGGTTTCTAGATTTCTGATGTTATGAAGAAGTTACGAGAGCTTTCGATAACTTCGTCCTATCCACATATTCGCACGCAGTGCAGGGAGGTTCGTTATCCGCTTGTAGCCTTCCACAGTTTTTTATTTTCAAAATTATGGCGGCTATGGTTCCCTCGAGCAGGAATATCGTAGTATGAGGAATTGTTTTTCAAGCCAGCTCAGTCTTGCTCACGTGGCCGTGCTGGTCGTCATCAAGCCAGTGCCATCAATTTTTTTTTCAGTTTTATTGATTAAAATTTCAGGGGTTATATGCTGTTGGCAGCGCATAGTTTTACAAAAACTAACTTTTCACTTTTTTAGGTGCTATGCGAATTCGTCGGCAATCATCCTTGTTCTGATGATCCGCAGAAGCACATCGAGTGGTTCATTGCACAGTTGGCTTACGAGCTTGAAGATGGCCGCCTCAGCGCTGCAGATATGCTCAATAGCCTATTTTCTCGGCTGAAACCCGTGAGACTCCATACATTTGCTGATGTCTAGAATGCAAAATTGACCATTTAGGCGGTGTTGAATAACTCATGCTTCTACAACATCTCCAAAATGGGCCCAATGCTTTTCAACGAAGAGAGTGTGAAGTGTAGAAAATTTATTGCGGGAGCTATCAACAAGCTTCTTTCCTCAGTAAGCGATTCAACTCGTGCAGACGTTTTCTCTGCTTGCTCGGATTGGCTTGAGTTGCAAGAAGAAGAGAAGGTGGGTGCCCTCGGTCCTCTATAAGCAAAAAATTCAATCCTTTTTCAGGAGGGTGCTCGGTCTATTGCTGTCGATTTGCTTGTGCAAATCAGCAAAATCGAAAAAGAGGCTTTCGGCCCACGATTCAGGTCGATTCTCCCATCCTTGCGCGCAATATTCGCATCGGTAACATTATGGTCTAATAATAGGTGAGTCGGTATTCTGAGATGTGTTACAACAAATTTATGTACCTTCCTTCAGTGAACGCACCATCTCTGGTATGTGTTACGGCGTAGCTTCTATGCTTCAAAATATGGGAGAAGAAGCGCGTGAAGTGCTTGCTTTGGAAGACTTCTGCTTGCTTTTTGGTAAGGAATTGTTGTGACACTAGCATCACTTTGCAGGTACATCAAATAATTACAGCAGCTATCAAATGTAGAAGTTTTTTTGATAGGTCTGAATAAGATAACCTAAAATCTTGCAGATTCTGCTTTCTTGACAAGGAAAATTGATGAAAATGCACCCTCGCGCAGCCAAGAATCTTGCAGAAAAGTCCTTCCATCAGATAAGTAAGTCTACAGATAATTTCGGACTCATCCGAAAGATCTCAGGATAGTTATAATGGAAAGAAAATGGACTTATCTGTAGGCGGACTCATCTGTACACGGACTTATCTGATGGAACTTATCTGTGAGATGTTAGGGTAAACGAAGAGCTGCAAATTCTTTTTCTGCAGAGGCAAGGGGAACAACCGTGTATAACCGCACTTTTTCGAATTTTTAAACGGGACGCTCGGCTGCTTCATTGTGTTTCGGAAAGCGATCCTTATGCCGCA